CCCCAAAACCCCAAAACCCCAAAACCCCAAGATGTTAAAATAGTGTTAATTTAAGATATTGAATAATAATAAAAGTTAATTTACCAATTGATTCAATAAATGAAATCTATAAGCATATAAAAAGAAAAAGATCCTAGAATATCTAGTAGAATAGAAACTGACATTGATGTTATAAATGATTTAGATATGACATAAGGACCATTAAAGTCAGAAAATTCATAATCATAGCTTCTTAATGAAGATAAAATTAAGAAAAAAGTTGATGAAGACTGAGCTGATCAAGATTTAGACTATGATAAGTTATTGTAGTACATCAATGATAAACATCCTAGAAAAGTCACTTTTTAAGGTAGGATAATAATTCTTAATGATAAATAGATGGAGTGAAATCTTATAGTAAATTTCCAATATTTGGAGCCTAATTTGGATGGTTTTGCTGCTTAAGAGGACCCTGATAAAATGATATTAAAGAGTTTGGAGTGGGTCTCGTACTCTACTTCAAATTCCTTAAATACTTTGCCTTCATATTCTTTATTTTGACAATTTGCTCAATTCCAAATTATATGATTTATGCTGGAGGAGGAAATTTTGAGAAGACTATGGAAAAAAGGCAGGGCTCTAATATTCGCCCAATTATATCCATTATGTCAATGGGGAATATGGCTACAGGTAATACATTATACTTTCTCATTTTAATCTTTAGTTTAGCTTCTTCTATTTGCGCAAATGGCGAAATTTTTAACAAAACAGTATCACTTGAATTTAAATGTGAAACTGGAATAATATATGGTTTGAAAGATTAGAAGATAGGCTTGGAGGGAGAGGATATCAGCTTGTCATGTGTCAATACAGACTTCATGATTGTTGATCAGGATTGCTCTTACTATTCATTCAACACTACAATCCAAAAGCGCATTGATAAATGGTTTATTGATCAGTGCAATGGAAAGTAATCTTGTAGATTTAAAGTGGATTTTACACAGCTCCCTCTCGCATGCCTAAATTATCAAAAGAAGCAAAAAGTATTTTCACTAGCTTTCTGCAATAGTAAATTTCTTACCTAATACTTATAGCATATGAATAAAGTTTTTATGGCAAAATAGTTGACAAGAGTAACATTGGAATTATGCTTGTCCTATTTGATATAGTAGTCCTCATCCTTTACTTAATTTCTCTAGGATTCCTTAAGAATTTTCAGAAAATAGATGCTTTGGAAATTAATGGAGATGTGATGAAATGCTCTGACTTCTCTATCTTGATAAGAAATCTACCTACGAATCCTAATGTTATTGAATACAAAGCATGGCTATGGGAATGGATAGAAAAGAAATTAGCAGAGCATGATGATCAAGATTAGAACAATAAGTCCTATATACCTAAGATTGTTGAAATATATTTTGGCTACACTGACTATAGCGATTTTGGAGATCTCAAAGAGATTAGAAGTCTTGAGAAAGCAATGATTGAGCAAAGGAAAAAATTGAAATTTGATAAATCTGGATAAGTTGAAAATTATAGAGCTCTGTAAAAAATAGTTGGCGCATTAAAAGGGAAAATTGAGGAGTATGAAAAAAATTCTAAGAAAAGAGAGAAAAAGCTAATTCCTAAATTTGCTTATGTGATTTTACTTCATGAGAATGATAAGAAAAGGCTTTTGAATCTCTATGATATTGGATGGAAACGAAAAATGCTTTTGAAATATAAATAAAGAGATAAGTATAATTCTTTATGTTTTGATAACGGATAGTTTCCAGATCTTGTATAAGCTCCTTAGCCATCTCTAGTTATGTGGAGTAACTTAAAATTCGATAATATAGATATTTTCAAAAGAAGCTTGCAGATAAATATTGTCACATTTTTATTGATGCTTGTGTCATTTTTCTTGGTTATTTATGGAAAATACCAAGATAAAATTATCAAGAAAATATATGGAGGAGATTAGTGCAAACTTGATGATGAAATTACGCAATAAATGGCAGAAGCAGATTTTAAATAGCCCCGCGAGGGAAGGCATGGATTGATGCATTGCTTTTGTTTGAATAGGTATACATCTCTTGGTTAGGAGGTAGTCAGTATTAAATTTGATGATTCTCTTTATTATTGTTCTGACTGGTTTGATATTTACACGGCTAAGAATGGATATGTTTATTATGCTGGATTTGCTATTAGTTTTGTCAACATATTAATTAAATTCGTGATAGGAAAAATAAGCTTTTATCAAAGAATGCACACATTGAATGAGATACTTGAAAATACAACATTAAAGATGTTTTTGTTCCAAGTAGTCAATACTGTAAGCTTATAATATAAAACATGTTTCTTAGGGAGTGATATTAATGCTTGTGAATTGGAATCTCAAAGACGAACTAGGATTGCCAGATAACTTCCCAGTCCTTACTGGAGATTATACTGATTTCACTGTTAACTGGTACTAAAAAATTGGAGTCCAATTGGTAAGATTGCTTTTTTAAATTATATTTAAGTGCGTATCAATGATGTTGAAAATAATGACTTAGCACATAATAAAGTTTGTTTACTTTGGTCTAAAATACTTTGCAACTTTTTGGGATAGAAAATTTAGACCTTGCAACAAAAGACGAACAAGGCAATACATTTAAGAAGATTATTAATCATAGTATCTTGGCCCACCGTTTGGTTTTGAGAAGAGATATTCATCTATGATGGCAGTGATATTCATTACTTTTATATTCTCGGCTGGTATGCCTTTCTTGTATCCAGTAGCTTGTGGATCTTTTATTGTAAATTACTGGATTGATAAATTCTTATGTAACCATAATTCTCTGAATAATAAATTATTTAGTTTTGAGGGTTCATCAGAAACCAGTTATGACAGATGGTGATTTAGCAAATAAATTAAGAGTTGTTTTATCATTTGCTGCAGTTTGGCATTTAGGCATTGCATTTTTAATGATGAGCAGCGAGTCGATTTTCCCTCTGGTAAGCTTATTTAATGATAATTAATATTAAAAGAAACAAAATGAGATGGAGGCTAAATTTAGTTTACCATCATTTTTAGCATTCATTGACGAAAAACGTCTTAACCATGATCACTCTTTTCTGACCTTCATAGCTTTCTTCATCAGTCTTATCTTTTCATTGTTCTATGATACTTTAGTTAAACTGCTGATTAAGCTGTGGAATAAAATTAAAAATATGATAGGCTGTAAATAAAAAGCTTCGAAGATGTAATAGTTTGATGATATCCTAAGTATATAAGAGTAAGTTATAATAATTTAAAGTATTAATTAGGATAAAGACTTAGTAGTATGATTTCTATGAAGCGATTGGAATATAAGGAATAATAAGTGAGAAAAAGAGATCTTAATAATCTCTAGAAGAAATTGAAAAATTCATGAAGGATAACGAAGTATCTCATAAATTGAGAAAGCTTCATCATAGATTTATAATTAAAATCGATACTCTTGATAAACTACTAACCAAGAAATAGTAAGATGCATAATCGCTGCTCAAGAGAGTATTTTTATAAGGACTAATGAATAAGAAAAGAGAGAAAGAAGGTCTAAAACGAGTTGATGATCCGGAACTTGCATTTAAAGATGTTAGTTTCCCTTGTAAAGTTTAGGGCCTATTAACATATGATATCAAAGAAAATGATTTTTATAAAGATGTGTATGCAACAGCTGAAAGATTAGATCAAATAAAAAAAGAAATCTAGATTTTGGATGCTGATAATATTGATGTAAATTCGATTGCTGAAATACGTAATTTGATTAATAGCTGAGTACTCTTATATTACTTTTATACAAATAGATCATATTTTACTGAATGGGGTTTTGGGGTTTTGGGGTTTGGGGTTTTGGGG